ACTGTAAGACAGCAGCCCCTTCCTCCTCCATGGGGCTCAGGGGCCACCTTCCTTCCTCTGAGCTGGGTATCTCCTGTCAGGAAACACCTTGGCTCTCACACCCTGAAATGCCCCAAGTCAGGTACTGCAGTGAGAGAGAGTCAGTTAGAAACGCCTAGTCAGAGTCTGGCCGCGGTGACTCACGAACTGTAATCCCAGCACTTTGGGAGGCCAAGGCGGGCAGATCACCTGAGGTCAGGAAGTCGAGACTAGCCCGGTCAACATGGAGATACCCCCGTCCCTACTAAAAATACAAAATTCATCCAGGTGTGGTGGCGGGCACCTGTAATCCCAGCTAATAGGGAAGCTGAGGCAGGAGAATCACTTGAACCCAGGAGGCAGAGGTTGCAGTGAGCCAAGATGCGACACTGCACTCCAGCCTGTGCAACAGAGTGAGACATCAGATCAAATAAAAAAAGAAAGAAAAGAAAAGAAAAAAGAAAGAAAGAAAAAAAGAAAAGAAACACCTAGTCAGAAACCCGGGGTCCAGGACATTTGGGGATTGGTGATCCATGTTCTCAGACATTCAAGGCATGTAGATTGGGATGGCTGACCCTGCCTCTGTCACATAGCAGGGTACCTTTGGTTAGGAAGACCTAGTGAGTTACAGCTGGTCACAGGGCCCTGGTCTGTTGCACACACTGAAATACACCTAGTCATATAGAATTAGTCGCCTGCCTTCAGTGGTATCTGCTCAGATTTTACACTGAGACTAACTGGTTAGATACACTCAGATAGAATCAGGATCCTGACATAGCCCTGGGCAGATCCACACAGATGCATAGTTAGATAGTCTTAGGCGGTTCCCTTCAGGCAGGTCTCCTGGTCACAGGTATCCTGCCAACTTCACCCAGGCACAGCCTGAGACAGACCATGTCCGAAGGACTCTGGGAGATGCTCCAGGTCAGACACCCACAGCTGGGTGCCCTCAGGCAGAGTCATACCCTGAGATACATGTGGCCCCATACCCCAGCCACATTCACACCCTGAGATACCCGTAGTCAGTTCTGATCTTGCATAACCCGAATAGATAATAGTGATCCATTTCACCCAGGTAATCCTGGCTGACATAGTGAGACCCCATCTCTACAAAAAACTACCAATGAATTAGCCAGATGTGGTCGCTCACGCCTGTAGTCCCAGATTCTCGGGACTGTATCTGGGAGGCTGAGGCAGGATGATTGCTTGAGCCCAGGAGGTGGAGACTGCTGTAAGCGTGCCTCTGCACTGCAGCCTGAGTGAGATAGAGTGAGACCCTGTCTCAAAATAATAATAATAATAATAATAATTAACATAAATAAAAATCAGGCAAGCAGAGTCATTTGATCTTTAGAAATACTTGGTCAGGCTAACACATAACCTGGTCAGAGAGACCTGGGCATGTCCCCTCCCATTCCAGGTCCCACGCTGAGACCCCCAGTTAGATGTCCTGGATCACATGTGCATACCTGGAGACACCCAAGTTGACATGAGCAGTTTTCCCACTCAGGGCCTCCCCAGACCCCAACTCAAACACCTACCTGACTCATGCCCACCTTGTCCCCACAGCCTTCCAGTGCCCTGCCCACAGCCACTACGAGCTCTGCGGTGACTCCTGCCCCGTGAGCTGCCCGAGCCTCTCAGCACCCGAGGGCTGTGAGTCGGCCTGCCGTGAAGGCTGTGTCTGCGATGCTGGCTTTGTGCTCAGTGGTGACACCTGTGTACCTGTGGGCCAGTGTGGCTGCCTCTATGATGGCCGCTACTACCCGCTGGGTGAGGCCTTCTACCCGGGCCCTGAGTGTGAGCGGCGCTGTGAGTGTGGGCCAGGTGGCCATGTCAGCTGCCAGGAGGGCGCGGCCTGTGGGCCCCATGAGGAGTGCCGGTTAGAAGATGGTGTCCGGGCCTGTCATGCCACAGGCTGTGGCCGCTGCCTGGCCAATGGGGGCATCCACTACGTCACCCTTGACGGCCGTGTCTTCGACCTGCATGGCTCCTGCTCCTATGTCTTGGCCCAAGTCTGCCAGCCGAAGCCTGGGGATGAGGACTTCTCCATCGTGCTTGAAAAGAACGCAGCTGGAGAGCCCCAGCGCCTCCTGGTTACTGTGTCTGGCCAGGTTGTCAGCCTAGCTCAGGGGCAGCAGGTGAGTCCGTGGGAGCCTGCCCTGGGGGTCTGAAGGCAACACAGCCCCATCTAGGGGGTTCTGAAGGACACATGGCCCCACCCTGTAGGTATGAGAGGGACATTCCTCCAACCTGGGAACTCTGAGCCTACCCTGGAAGGTCTGGTGAATGGTCCCACCTAGGGAGATTTTTGTTTGGTTTTGTGACAGGGTCTCGTTCTGTCACCCAGGCTGGAGTGTATTGGCATGATCACAGCTCACTGCAGGCTCAACCTGCTGGGCTCAAGCGATCCCCCCACCTCAGCCCCCCATGCCTAGCTAATTTGTTTGGTAGAGATGAGGTCTTGCTATGATGGCCAGGCTGGTCTCGAACTCCTGGGCTCAAGTGATCCACCTGTCTTGGCCTCCCAAAGTGTTGGGATTACAGGTGTGAGTCACCACGCAAGACCTGGGGCCCAAGAAGTTTAAGGGAAACATGACCTGACGTTAATGGGACTGAGGGAGATGCAGCTCTGCCTTGGGAGTGGGACAGGACAGCCTTGCCTGTGGTTCTGTGAGTTCCTGACCTACCTGACCCTTCCACTCAGGTCACCGTGGACGGCGAGGCTGTGGCCCTGCCTGTGGCTGTGGGCCGTGTGCGGGTGACCGCCGAAGGCCGAAACGTGGTTCTGCAGACGACCAAGGGGCTGCGGCTTCTCTTTGATGGCGATGCCCAAGTCCTCATGTCCATCCCCAGCTCCTTCCGTGGAAGGCTCTGTGGCCTCTGTGGGAACTTCAATGGCAACTGGAGTGATGACTTTGTCCTGCCCAATGGCTTGGCAGTGTCCAGTGTGGAGACCTTCGGGGCTGCATGGCGGGCGCCCGGCTCCTCCAAGGGCTGTGGCGAGGGCTGCGGGCCCCAAGGCTGCCCCGTGTGCTCGGCAGAGGAGACTGCACCCTATGAGAGCAACAAGGCCTGCGGGCAGCTCCGGAACCCCCAGGGACCCTTCGCGACCTGCCAGGCTGTGCTGAGTCCCTCTGAGTACTTCCGCCAATGCGTATACGACCTGTGCGCGCAAAAGGGCGACACAGCCTTCCTGTGCCGCAGCCTGGCAGCCTATACGGCGGCCTGTCAGGCAGCCGGCGTGGCCGTGAAGCCCTGGAGGACAGACAGCTTCTGCCGTGAGTGTCCGTGGGTCCCTCAGAGAACTCTAGACCAGATGTAGGGCCCCTCCTGGCCCATTCCTTCTATTCGCATGTCGAAGTGGTTTCTCCCCACCCCCTCCCACCCCACACCCTCCCACCCCACGCCCACATACCTCCTTCTCCCACGGCGTAGTTCACTGGCTTCCCTGCTACCCCTCTGACTGTTCCTTCTCAGCCTCCTGTCCGGGCCCACTCTCCTCAAACCTCAAGTTCACTTCTTCCCTAGTGCTCTGTTCTGGACTCTTTCTGCAGGGACCTGAAAGGGATAGTTGGATGGGTTGGGAGATCTATGGCTCACACAGACCCTCCTTCCACCCCCTGACAAGATCATATCCCCTCAGATCCCCCCAAGACAAGGTTGCAGCCTAGTAGACACCCCCCTAAACTAGGACTGTACCTCTCATTCAAATCCCCAGGGGAGGGACATCACCTGAGACTCAGGACAAAGCAACGGCCCCTCCGGCCCCAGGTCAGAGCCAGGTCTCCCCTGGGCAGGACCTATACCCAGGGCTGTCGTCCACACCCGCGGCCTTAGATTTGTTCTCAGTGTTGACTGTGGACCTAGTCTATCTGTCTCAAGCCCTGAAGCCTCTCCTGACTGTCAGTCCAGTGACCCTAATTTCTGACTTTTGGCCTTTAAAACTGTGGGAGAATGAATTTCTCCTGTTTAAGCTACCAAGTCTGAGGTAATTGTGAGGGTGTCCAGGGCACCTTCCCCTGGGTGTCCTCAGGGTTCCTCTCACCTGATGTGTTCCCACATAAAATCAGCATATCACCCCCAGCCTGATGCTCCTTCCCCAATCCCGGTGGGCATTGCAGAACAGCCATACCATCCACCAATTGCTTAGCCAGAGACCAGGGACTTACCACAGATATTTCCCTTGGGTCCGTACAGCCTCTGTCCCAACCCTGACCCCTCTGCCTGTGCCCCCCTATCCCAGCCCTGACCCCTTTGCCTGTGCCCCACCGACCCTGGCCCTGACCCCTCTGCCTGTGCCCCGGCCCTGACCCCTTTGCCTGTGCCCCCCCCACCCTGATCCCAACCCCTGTGCCTATGCCCCTAACCCTGGTCCTGACCCCTCTGGCTGTGCCCCCTACCCTGGCCCTCAACTCTCTGTCTGTGCCCTCCCCATCCTGGCCCTGACTCTTCTGCCTGTAGCCCCCCACCCTGGCGCTGACCCCTATGTCTGTGTCCCCCAATGCCTGCCCTGATCCCTCTGCCTGTGCCCCCCATCCCTGTCCTGACCTCTCTGCCTGTACCCCCTTATCCCTGCCCTGACCTCTCTGCCTGTGCCTCCCCATCCCTGCCCTGACCCCTCTGTCTATACTCCCTGAGGCAGCATGTTCACTTTTGGCTGTTCCTGTCTGTCCCACTGAACGTGAGCTCTGTAGGACTGGGGTTGAGGCTTTTCTCAATACTTGTGTCTTCAGTGCTACCTAAAACGGGCTGGGTGTCCATTGGTTATCCAGGACCCTTCGGAGGTGTGACGCGGCCCTGCCTCCTCTTTCTGCAGCGCTCCGGTGCCCCGCCCACAGCCACTACTCCGTCTGCACACACACCTGCCAGGGCTCCTGTGCGGCTCTCTCTGGCCTCACGGGCTGCACCACCCGCTGTTTTGAGGGCTGCGAGTGTGACGACCGCTTCCTGCTTTCCCAGGGTGTCTGCATCCCTGTCCAAGATTGTGGCTGCACCCATAATGGCCGATACTTGCCGGTGAGTAGGGGTTGGGGTGGGCAGAGAAGGTAGAAGAGCTTGAGAGAGACCCGGAGCTTCCATGCTGACCTCTTCAAGGCTGGGGATAGAGGAGCCACCGCCATCTCCCAGCTGTGTGACTTGATGCAGGCAACCTCCCCGTATTAGTTTCGTGTAGCTTCTGTAACCAATTACCGCAGACGTGGCAGCTTAAACAGGAGAAATTCATTCTCCCACAGTTCCAAAGGCCAAAAGTCAGAAATCAGGATCACTGGACTGACATCAAGGTGTTGGCAAGGTGGCACTCCCTGCAGAGAAATCTAGGGGAGGCCACGCCCAGTGGCTCATGCTTGCAGTCCCAGCCCTTTGGGAGGCCAAGGCGGGAGGATCACTTGAGCCCAGGAATTCAAAACCAGCTTGGGCAACATAATGAGACCCCATCTCTACAATTTTTTTTTTTTTTTTTTTTTAATTAGCTGGGCATCGTGGTGCACACCTTTAGTCCCAGCTACTTAAGAGGCTGAGGTGGGACAATTGCATGAGCCCAGGAGTTGGAGGCTGCAGTGAGTTATGATCACACTGCTGCACTCCAGCCTGGATGACAGAGCAAGACCTTATCTCTAAAGTAAAAAGGAAAAGAATCGGGCATGGTGGCTCACGCCTGTAATCCCAACACTTTGGGAGGCTGAGGCAGGTGGATCACGAGGTCAGAAGTTCAAGACCAGCCTGACCAACATGGTGAAACCCTGTCTCCACTAAAAATACAAAAATTAGCCGGGCGTGGTGGTGCGTGCCTGTAATCCCAGCTACTCAGGAGGCTGAGGCAGGAGAATCACTTGAACCCAGGAGGTGGAGGTGGCAGTAAGCCGAGATCACGCCACTGCGCTCCAGCCTGGGCAACAGACCAAGACTCCATGTCCAAAAAAAAAAAAAAAAAAAAGAGAGACAAAAGAAATCTAGGGGAAAATCTGTTCCTTGCCTCTTCCAGTTGCTGGTTGCTGCAGGTTTTCCTTGGTTGTGGCCACATCACGCCAACCTCTGCCTCTTCTGAGTGTGTCATAACATCTCCCTCTGCTTCCCTCTTATAAGGATACACGTGATTGCATTTAAGGCTCACTCAGATAATCCAGGAGAAATTTTCCATCTTAAGATCCTTAATTCAATCACATCTGCAAACACCCTTTTCCCATATAAGGTAACACTTACTCATTACAGGGATTAGGACCTGATATCTTGGGGCAGGGGCATCATTTGGCCCCTCCTTGAACTTCATTTTCTTCCACTGCAAAATGGGGCTAATCACCATCTTTGTACCATACGTGTCTAAGGATCAGGCACGATTATACAGGAAAGATACCCACTGAGCACTGGGCCTTGCCCTGCGTGTTCATCACACTCAGTAAAAAGAAAGAGCAGTTTACAGCATGGTGCAGTGGCTCACGCCTGTAATCCCAGCACTTTAGGAGGCCAAGGGGTGGGGCAGATCAAAAGGTCAGGAGTTCGAGACCAGCCTGGCCAATGTGGTGAAACCCCATCTCTACTAAAAATACAAAAATTAGCTGGGCATTGTGGCGGGTGCCTGTAGTCCTAGCTACTCGGGAGGCTGAGGCAGGAGAATCGCTTGAACCTGGGAGGCGGAAGTTGCAGTGAGCTGAGATTGCACCACTTCATTCTAGTGTGAGCAACAGACTGAGACTCCATGTCAAAAAGAAAAAAAAGCAAAAAAAAGAAATAGCAGTTTACAACAGTGCAAATAGGTAGCCCAGCTAGTAATTGTTCAATAATATGAATTAAATTGAAGAATTGATTTATTCTTGTTAATGATTTTTTTGAGCTCTTACTATGCACCATGTTTGTTATAGGTGTTATTTTTTTTTTTTATTTATTGAGATAGGATCGCACTCTGCCTCCCAAGCAGAAATGCAGTGGCGTGCTCACGGCTCACTACAGCCTCAAACTCCTGGGCTCAAGCGATCTTCCTGCTTCAGCTTCCTGAGTAGCTGGGACCACAGGCTCACACTGCCATGCCTGGCTAACTATCTAATTTTTTTGTAGAGATGGGGTCTCACTATGTTGCCCAGGCTGGTCTCAAACCCCTGTGTTCAAGCGATCCTCCTGCCTTGGCCTCCTAAAGTGCTGGGATTACAGGGATGAGCCACCTCTCCTGGCCATGTTATAGATGTTAATCCATTTAATAATCATACCAGTCCTCTGCAATAGATACTATGGCTATTTTCCCCATTATACAGATGAAGAAATTGTGACGTAGAGAAGTCAGCCTGAGGCTATCCATTAACATGCGGTGCTGACTTGCATTGCTTGCAAATGGAGTCAAATTTTGCTCTTTCCAGTAGGCTCTCACTGCCTACTGGAAGCCATCCTTGATCCCCTAGGCTGGGTTAGGTACCTCCTCTGAACCCCTCAGCTCCCTATGCTTCCCCATTCCTGCTCTGACCCCTCTGCCCATGCCGGAAGTCTTCTTGGATTTGTGAGTCTGGCCTTCATGGTAGAGGTCTGGCCTAGAGATGTGGAAATCATTAGTGTAGAGATGGCATTTATTTTGTTAATTACATTTCTTCATTTCTTACCTGTATCAGTTAGCTTTTGCTGGGTTACAGATCACTCCAAAACGTGGTGGCTTAAAACAGTTATTCATTTAGTTTGCAATTTTGTGACTGCAGTTTAGGCTGGACTTGGCTGGGCGGTTCTTCTGCTATGCTCTGGGGTTGCTCATGTATAATATCTGTAGTCACCTGGTGGGTCAGCTGAAGGCTGCCTGGTCTAGGGTGGCCTGAGCTGGAAGAGTTGTCTATGTTCCATGGGGTCACTCATCTTCTAGGGAGCTAGCCCAGGCTTGTTCTCATGGTGTCTGGGCAGGATTCTGTGTATGAGAGAGAGAGAGAGAGAAAAGAGAAGCTGTAAGGTCTCTTGAGGTCTAGGCTTAAACCTGTCACGATATTGCTTCTTCTGTGTTTCATTCACCTAAATATAGTCTTATGGCCAACCCAGATTCATTGGGAGGGGGAAGTAAACTCTATTTCTTAATGGGAGTCTGTAAGTGACTCTGCATGGATACAGAGGGTTCAAGGAGTGTGGCCATTTTTGCGATCCATCCCACACCATAACCTGGCCCCTTTCTGTGCACAGGTGAACTCCTCCCTGCTGACCTCAGACTGCAGCAAGCGCTGTTCCTGTTCCTCAAGCTCCGGCCTGACATGCCAGGCAGCTGGCTGCCCACCAGGCCGCGTATGCGAGGTCAAGGCTGAAGCCCGGCAGTGCTGGGCCGCCCGTGGTCTCTGTGTCCTGTCTGTGGGTGCCAACCTCACCACCTTTGATGGGGCCCGTGGCGCCACGACCTCTCCTGGTGTCTATGAGCTCTCTTCCCGCTGTCCAGGACTACAGAAGACCATCCCCTGGTACCGTGTGGTTGCTGAAGTCCAGACCTGCCGTGGGAAAACTGAGGCTGTGGGCCAGCTCCACATCTTCTTCGAGGATGGGATGGTGACGGTGACCCCAAACAAGGGTGTGTGGGTAAGTTTGTGAGTAGGGGGTGGGGAATGTCTCCCCTGGGCTTTTGCTCTTCCGATTACAATGTCCCCACATTCCTGGCTTCCTTTCTGTCTTGCGATCTGTTTTCTTTATCCAGGTCTCTGCGGTTTAGTCTCTGGATTTGTATTTATCTCAATATTTCAAACTTGGTCCCTCTGTTCTGGCTGAGTTCTAGAGGAGCAAAAACATACTCAAGTAACCTAATAGTTGTGACACTAGTATGAATCGAGACTTTATGAGTTGCAAGTGACTTAAAACCAAATTCAAACTGCCTTAAGCAAAATTGAATTTATTAGTCCATGTAGCTAGAAAATCCAAGGATAGAGCCTCAGGAATGGCTGACTCTAGATGCCCTGGCAATATTATCAGAAATTTGCACTTCCATCTTTGAGACTTGCTATTTGCCAAATCAGCTTTATTCTCAAACAGGCTTTCCACTTGCAGGGGTAAAGACAACCCCCTCAGCTGCCCAGGCCTATGCCCCACCCGCTTAACTACCTTAACAGAAAATGGTTCAATAAAATATCCCAGGATTATATCTCACTGGACCAGTTTGGGTCACATGCCCACCCCTGGAGCCAATCACTGTGACTTTAGGGAGGAAGTTCTGTGATTGGTCAAGGCTGGGGGGGGGTCACATAATGTGTCAGGGTTTCCCATAACCACCCCCAGGTTCAGTGATTCGGTAGGACTCACAGGACTCAGCATATAGTTGTACTTAGGGCTAAGACGTGTCATAGGGAAAAGATACAAAGTGAAATCGACACAGGGAAAAGGTGCATCACACAAAGTCCAGGGGAAATCAGGTGCAAGCTTCCGAGAGTCCTTTCTCGGTAGAATCACACAGGATGTGCTTCATTCCTCCAGCAACAAAGGTGTAATGAAACATGAAATGTCGTCTACCAGGGAAGTTCATTAGAGTCTCAGTGCCTGGGGTTTTGGTATTCACCTACCAAAATTCCAGACTCCTAGAAGGAAACTCCCAGAAGATGCTCAGCATCTTTGTTCATCACTGGACTATAAGCCGCAGGTAGGCAGGGATCCTGTCCATCTTGGTCACCAGTTCGTTCCCAGTACCCAGATCAAGGCGTGGCACCTAGAGGGTACTCAGGAAAAGGTTGGTTTTGTGAATAAACTCAACCCTGCTCCTTTTGTGCCAGGCCATGTGCTGGGTAACAGAGATGACGTGGACTCAGTCGTTATACTTGCAAAGTTCGCACCCTACCGAGACTTTCCATCCACTAGTCTTCATCTATCCTTCGCTATGCCCATCCTCCCTTTTCCCCTCCTTCCTTCCAGCATCTATTCTATACCTCTTTCTCTTTTTCCTATTTCCTTCCTTTTTGTCTTCTTCCCTTCCTTCTTTCTTCCATCCAGCCACCCATCCGTCCATCCATCCATCCACCCACAAATCCACCTATCCACCCATCCATTCATCCATCCATCCATCCATCCATCCATCCATCCATCCATCCATCCATCCATTCATCCACCCACCCACCCATCTATCTGTCCATCCACGTAACCATCCATCCTTTCTTCCATCCATCCATCCATCCATCCATCCATTCATCCACCCACCCACCCATCTGTCTTTTCAGATCTATCTACCTATCTCTCCAATCATCTGGCAGAGGAAAACTCAGATACAAAAGCATTTAGAGGGCTGGGCATGGTGGCTCATGCCTGTAATGCCAGCACTTTGGGAGGCCAAGGTGGGCAGCCGATCACTTGAAGTCAGGAGTTAGAGACCAGCCTGGCCAACATGGCGAAACCCAGTCACTACTAAAAATACAAAAATTTGCCGAGCATGGCGGCAAATGCCTGTAGTCCCAGCTGAGGCAGGAGGACTGCTTGAACCCGGGAGGCGGAGGTTGCAGTGAATCAAGATCGCACTATTGCACTCTAGCCTGGGCGACAGAGCAAGATTCTATCTCAAAAACAACAACAAAACCAAAAATAAACAAACAATAAAAGGATTTACAAAAAAAAAAAAGAGAGAGAAGTCTTTCAAGGAAGTTTCTCTAGAGAATCTAACTTCTAAAATTAGAAGGGCTAATTTACCAACTAATGTAGACAACAGTTAAAGGAAAAAAATTCACAAAGTTACTGGATCTGCAGCCTATGATGAAGAAAACGTAATTTTCTCATATGATTATTATATTTGCTAAAGTCATTACTTATCTTCAGATATCAGCATTGCAAAAATAAAGGATAATGTTGTTTTGGTTAGGGAACCAATAACTTACAGAATGTGCTCAAAGTTTGTTTTATTTTGCAAACTAGAACCAGGCTGAAGTAGGCAGATCACCTGAATCCAGGGGTTCAAAACCAACCTAGACAACATAGTGAGACTCCATCTTTACAAAAAAATACAAAAATTAGCCGGGTGTGGTGGCGCCCACCTGTAGTCCTGTAGTCTCAGCTACTCGGAAGGCTGAGGTGGGAGGATTGATTGAGCCTAGGAGGTCAGGGCTGCAGTGAGCTGTGATTGCACCACTGCACTCCAGCTAGGATGACAAAGCAAAATCCTATCTTTAAAAAAAAAAAAAAGGAAGAAAGAAAAAGAAAGTTAGAACTGTAAAGATGACCCTGGGGTTTGATTGTTTGTCTGTTTGTTTGCTTATCTGTCTGGTACAAAGTGCTTCCCCCACTGACTTTGGGGTATTGTGTAGATCCACAGGTCGATCTCTCCATCCCTCCACTCTCCATCCTTCTATCCCTCTATCCAGATCTCCAGCTATCTTCTCATGTATCCATTACTCCAAATAGTGCAAACACCCAGGTCTTCATCTCTTTCAGCACCCGCCTCTTTGATTTAGCTCCATGAACTTATCTTGCTTGGGGTCTCCATCCTGGTAACACCCAGCTATTCTGTGGCTGTGGCCTCACCTCTGTGTTTGCTGGGCACCCCCCACCAGGTGAATGGTCTCCGAGTGGATCTTCCAGCTGAGAAGTTAGCATCTGTGTCCGTGAGTCGTACACCTGATGGCTCCCTGCTAGTCCGCCAGAAGGCAGGGGTCCAGGTGTGGCTTGGAGCCAATGGGAAGCTGGCTGTGATGGTCAGCGAAGACCATGCTGGGAAACTGTGTGGGGCCTGTGGAAACTTTGACGGAGACCAGACCAATGATTGGCGTGACTCCGAGGGGAAGTCAGTGATGGAGAAATGGAGAGCACAGGACTTCTCCCCATGGTGAGGAATGTAGTATGGAAACCAGACTTCTTGGGGCAAAGGCACCTGGATCCTCATGGGATGAAGGCAGTCAGGGTGGGTGTTTAGTCTGCAAGCGGGGGTGCTAAGTGTCTGTCTCTTGCAGTTATGACTGATCAGTTGTCCACCGGGAGTGAAGACTTCCTGAAGAAGACCTGATCCTCCTGGAGGTTGCAGGGGCTGAAGGATGCATCATGTGCTCCTACCCTGCTCTACCAGTCTTCTGGGTCGCAGAGGCCAAATGTGAGAGCGTTGAATAAATCTCTTAAGCTAAGCTGCATGTCACTGTGTCTGTCTCATGCCTTCTCATCCCTGACTTTCCTCCTGCACAGCAGGTATCAGGTGCCTGGGGAATCTAGCACATGATGAATGTTTATCGGGGGCTGGGAGGATGGATGGATGATTGCATGGGTAGATGAAGAGATGGATGGAGGAATTGAGAAAATGGTGTGTGGGGAACTAGGAAGATGAGGCAACAATAGGTGATTAGAAGAATGGATGGATGAGAAGATAAATGGCCAGGCACAGTGGCTCACGCTTGTAATCCCAGCACTTTGGGAGGCTGAGGCAGGAGGTTTGCTTGAGCCTAGGGGTTTGAGACCAGCCTAGGAAACATAGTGAGACCCCATCTCTACAAAAAATATAAAAATTAGCTGGGCATGGTGGCACTGCCTGTATTCCCAGCTACTCGGGAGGCTGAGGTGGGAGGATCACTGGAGCCTAAGAGGTTGAGGCTGCAGTGAGCCATGATCATTCCACTGTGCTTCAGCCTGGGCAACAGAGTGAGACCCTGTCTCAATAAAAAGAGAAGATAAATGATTGGATGGAGGAAAGGAGTGGAAAATGGAGAGAGATAATAGATTCTGGCTTTATCATTTATAACCCTAGCAAGTTACTTAATTTCTCTCTAGATCAGTCTTCTCATCTTTAAAGTAGAGTTAATGATAGTACTTACAGAGCTGGAGTGAAGATTTAATGTGTTAATGCAATCAACAAGTAAAAAACTGAAGTCTTGGTTTTCTTTCAAATCTGTCCCCTTCCCATGATGGTCTTCCCTACCTCCTTAAATAGCACAATTAGCACCCAGTGAGTTCAGCAGCAAGAAAATAGGGGAATTATTCTTCATTTCTTCCTCTCCTTTGTCCTCCACTCAGTTCCTTAACAGATCATCTTGAACTGTTTCAAAACACACCCAAGGCCCCACGGTGGCTTACGCCTATAATCCCAGCATTTTGGGAGGCTCAGGTGGTCGGATCACGAGGTCAGGAGTTCGAGACCAGCCTGGCCAACATGCTGAAACCCTGTCTCTACTAAAAATATAAAAATTAGCCAGGCATGGTGGCATGTGCCTGTAATCCCAGCTACTTGGGAGGATGAAGCTGGATAATTGCTTGAACCTGAACCTGGGAGGTGGAGGTTGCAGTGAGCCAAGATTGTGCCACTGCACTCCAGCCTGGGCAACAGAGCAAGATTCTATCTCGAAAAAACAAACAAACAAAGAAAAAACATACCTGAAATCTACCTTTCTTATTATGCCCACTGTCACTACCTGGTACAAGTCATTATCCTAACTTCTGTCAACAACACAGTAACCTACTGTCTGCTCTTTCTCTTCTGTAATCTACTGTCACAGCTGTCATGAGAATCTTCCTTAAAATACAAACAGGTCACGTGGGGCCAGGAGTTCAAGACCAGCCTGGGTAACATAGCAAGACCGACCTTGTCTCTACAAAAAATTTAAAAATTAGCCAAGCATGGTGGTGCAGGCCTGTAGTCTCAGCTACTGAGGAGGCTGAGGTGGGAGGATTGTTTAAGCCCAGGAGTTTGAGGTTACAGGGAGCTATGATTGCGCCATGCATTCCAGCTTGGGCGACAGAGCATGATCCTGTCGTTTAAAATAATAATAATAATGGTTATATATAAAAATATATATTATATAATATATATAATTATATACATTTATAATAAAATCAAATTTCTTCACCTTGTCCTATGAGGCCCCTGCCAACCTCTTCTGACTCATCTCCTATCACTATCTTCCTTGCCAATTATGATTTGGGAATGTGATCTTTCAATTTATTGAATGTGCCAAATTTTGCCACTTCAGTCCTTTATAACATGCTTGTCCCTCCACTCATGACATGACTGGCTTTTTCTCATCCTTCAATGTAATCTTCATTGTTAATTAACTTAGAGAGGACTTTCATGACCACCCCACTGGGCAACATAGTGAGACCCCATTTCTACAAAAAATGTAAAAATTAGCTGGGCATGATGGCACGTGCCTGTATTCCCAGCTACTCGGGAGGCTGAGGTGGCAGGATCACTGGAGCCTAGAGGTCAAGGCTGCAGTGAGCCATGATCATTCCACTGCACTTCAGCCTGGGCAACAGAGACCCTGTCTCAATAAAAAGAGAAGATAAATGATTGGATGGATCCACTTTCATGGATCCCCTTCTGTCCCACCCTTTTGCTAAATTCCTTCTTAACCTTTGTCACACTTTATAATTAATTTTGTTTGACTTTCTCTCCAATTAGAAATAACTTAAGGGCAGAGACGGTATCTGCTTCATTCACTACTTTATTTGCAACTCCTAGCACAGTCTGTCACATCGTAGGTGCTCAGTACATATTGGATGAATGAATAAATAACTAAAAACAAACTTGCAGGAAAGCTTTGCAATAAACCTAACGAAGGATTAATATTCACAATATGCTGCACACCAACATGGCACATGTATACATATGTAACAAACCTGCACGTTGTGTACCCTAGAACTTAAAGTATAATAAAAAATAAAAAAAGAAAAAGAAAAAAGAAAAGAAAAGAAGGCTTCTAAGAAAAAAAAATATATATATATCCACAATATGCAGAACTCCTTCAATAAGAAAGACAATAACCTAACCCAATCAGAAAAAACTGGGTTGGCCAGGTGCGGTGGCTCATGCCTGTAATCCCAGCACTTTGGGTGGCCGAGGCAGGCAGATTACCTGAGGTCAGGAGTTCTAGATTAGCCTTGCCAACATGGTGAAACCCCCATCTCTACTAAAAAATACAAAAATTAGTGGGGCATGGTGGCATGTGCCTGTAATTCCAGCTACTCCGGAGGCTGAGGCAGGAGAATCGCTTGACCCTCGGGAGGCAGAGGTTGCAGTGAGCCAAGATCACACCACTGTACTCCAGCCTGGGCAACAGAGCAAGACTCCATCTCAAAAAAAAAAAAAAGAAAAGAAAAATAAAAAAAATGGGTTGAGGATATAAACAGGCAATTGGGAGAAATCCAAACATGTTGAATGCGTACAGTATGTCATGTTCTTTGTGTACAGTATTTCTGAACTTCATAATTACTCTGTGAAATGGGAATAGACAAAGAAATAGGCTCAGTGAAGTTAAATAACTTGTCCAAGGGCAAACAGTTTGTAAATAATGGAGCCCAGATGTGAATCCGGATGTGTCCTCTACCATAGCCAGTGCTTTCTATTGAATTTTGCTGTCAACCATTGCCTGGGATCCATTTCCCTTCGAGAAAAAGAATTAAGAGGTCCTAAAAAATAAAGAATAAAAAGCAACATTCCAATAGAAAAATATGCAAATGATTGGAATAGTTCATAGAAAAAGAAATACAAATTGCCTTAAAACCTGGCCGGGCGCGGTGGCTCAAGCCTGTAATCCCAGCACTTTGGGAGGCTGAGACGGGCGGATCACGAGGTCAGGAGATCGAGACCATCC